TGATTTACAAGCAGTTATAAATTATAAACTAAAAATATGAACTCTATAAATTTTCTTTTACTTCTAAGAAATTATTACGATTGAAAAACTTCTAATTATTGTAACTGTGAAGAAAATGGTATGCCGATGGATATGAGTGCCAATTCTAATTAAATATTCTCTAAATATTCTCTACACGATATTATAAGCAAAGTATTTAATTAAAACAAGAAAAAATATTATTTTTTGTTTCTCAAGAAAGTAATTATTTTTTCAATAAAACTTGAATTCAATTGTGTATTCAAAACAAGAAAATGGAATCCTTTGTTTGTTTTTTATGAAAATATTTTACCTATTATCAGTGTTCTATGTTTAGTTAACAATTCCACATTTGATGCATTTTATCATTTTTTGAAGTTACTTCGATATCGACAAATGTACATAATGTTAGAAATTTAAAACTACTCCGAGCCCAAGTGTAAAGTTATCGAATGTCGATAAAAATTCTTTTATTAATTCCATTTGATTTGTAAGATCGCCACGACATTCCATATTTGGCAACTTTCCTTTCCATAATACATCTAAAAACGAAAACTCGTGTAAATTCACTATACCACTATACGCACCGGTTCACGTGCGAAAGCTCTGACAAAGAACAGTTCGTATGAATTCTCGTGCAGGTGTTAAGGGTAATGGACAAGAGGGCGCAGTTAATGGAATCTCGTAAAGCAGACTGGGCGATGGGCGAGAATCTCGCGTTTCTCAGTTTGCTAAAAGAGGGCCATCACGTGAGATTGTCCGGCGAGGATGTCGAGCGAGGCACATTCTCTCATCGCCAGCACATAATTCACGACCAGAACAAGGACAAGCTTTATAAAAATCTCCTCCATGACGTATTTCCTGGACAAGCGTTGTACACCGTCTCGAACTCGTCTTTGTCGGAGTACGGTGTTTGCGGTGAGCCTTGCAACGCAATGGTATATACGGTAATTTCTCCCTAATTCGCGCTTAGATTGCGCACAAAAATGGACAATTTGGGAAGACTTCCTTCACCAGATCACCGGTTACTGTCACTTCGCAGTGAATTGTGTCCATAATTATGAAAGTGGTCCAAGACAAAATTTAAAAAAAAATGAATTTATCACTTATTTCACACGACATGATTTTAAACTAAATTTATTCAGTGTAATTTTTATGATATCGTCAAAAATGAACCTTTAGGTAGTAGTTGTAATTACAACGTTATACGGAATTCATTTAGTGTTAATTATGAAAGTGGTATAAGTCAACA